ATTATAAAAAAATGTCTCTTATGGGATAATTTAGAAAAAGATGGAATTCAGGATGCTGCACTGTGTTCAAGATGTTTTGGATCTGTTCCGCCAGCTGTACCAACAGTATATGAGTCAGGTATTTTGCAAAGGGACTACTGAATGTGGAATTTTTTTTTCCTAAAATAAGCACTAGGTGCAAATTTTCTGCTTTAGCTTTTGGCTTGAAAGATAGTTTTGATTGACTCAGTTCACACTTTCTAGGTACTCAAAAGATTCATGAGAATGCAGTAGAAGCAGTAGTAAACATTACTCTAAAATAGACAAATACTTTTTCCCAAGGTGAAGTAACCAGTGATTTCAACCCTTGGCTCTGATAAGCAAGTGGAAATCTTGAAACTGTATGGAAATTTCCGTCTAGTTAAGACTATGGGAGAGTATCACCTTTCTTCGTTGTCATTTCACTGGGGAGATGATAAATTATTTTTGAAATACTTGGCCTAAGGATTGTTTTTGCAAGTTAGTCTGGCGGCAGATACCATTACCGTAACTGTAAATGCTGTTGTTAAGATACCTGCTATTTTGCTGTGATGTGTAGTTTTGTGGTGGTTATGTTTTGGATTTATGCTGGAAATGGTGTAGATAACACAAGGATGTTTTCATTCCTGCTGAGCAGGGCTTACACAAAGCCAAGGCCTTTGCTGCTCCTCACCCCACCCCTCCAGCAAGGGAGTGCACAAGGGAGCCCTGCTTCCCTGGAGGCAGCTGAACACCTGCCTGCCCGTGGGAAGTTGTGAATGAATTCCTTCTTTTGCCTTGCTTGTGCATGTGACTTTTGCGTTACCTTTTAAACTGTATCTCTACTCTTCCAATTCTCTTCTGCATCCTAGCCAGGAGGGGAGTATGCAAGGGGCTGTGAGTGGTGCTTAGTTGCTGTCTGGTCTTAGACCATGACATGTATCCACTTACTTCCTGTGCTGTGACTCTACATGTTGTTGAACTTTTTTTTTTTTTTTTTCATTTTTAATGCTGAGCACTATTCAAAGACTTTCCTAAAGTACATTGTATTCTTGAAATTGTTCAAACTCTTATACTGCTGTTTACAGGAACAAGAGATGGACAGACACGGCTTATTAGAGATAATGGTAAAGTGGAAGCGTATCAATGGAGCGTTAGTGAAGGAAGATGGATAAAAATTGGCGATGTTGTTGGTTCTTCCGGAGCCACACAACAGACGTCTGGAAAAGTTTTATTTGAAGGAAAGGTATATGCAAATTTTAGTTTTATTCCTTCCTAAGTAAAATACTGAATTTCCCATTAAAGTCTATTCCAGTCTTTGTTCAGATAGAATATAATATAGAAAATAGGTGTTTGTTTCTACTTTCTTATCATATTTGACCTCAGAGGTAGAAGTATAAGTATTATTTGCTTCATCACTTCGGAAATGAATTTTGTAAAACAAGCAAGCCAACGGAGACAAATTATTTTTGAGAAACTATTAGTAGAGAAAAGATCAAGTTGTGTTGTACTTATTGTTAATAACTTGAGAAATTAATTTCCTTTCCAAAGGAAGGGAACCATACAACTTAAAATACAAGGCTTATCTAAAATATTAGGTACTGTACCCCTTCTCTATAGTAACTAAAAACCTAAAGATAGCTGAAAAATGTTTCCTTTACTGACATATACATAGAAAAGTCTGTCTGGGGCAGAAAAAATGCCTCAGAGAGACAAATTTTCTCACATGCTTTGAAATTTAGAATGTTAGAAAATTGTAGTTTTCTAGCATTAGAAACATACTTTTAGAACTAAAGTTTTCTGAGGCATCTGACTTCCCTGTAGCTTTTCAGGCAGCGAGAGCTGTCCATGAGAGTCATGTGGTGCATCTTTTCTTTTTAACATTTCTACACAAACATTATCATGATACATTGTTTTACTCTGGTCTTCTTGAGACAGAGAATTCTGGAAACTACAGGTTTAACTTTCTGGTGATTTTGGCTGAAACAGAGTTCATGTTCTTCTTAGCATCTGGTACAGTGCTCTGTGTTTTGGATTTAGGGTAGCAACGTTCTTGATAACACAGTGATATTTTGGCTAGTGGTAAGTAATGTTTACCCTTAGTCAGGAAATGCTTACTTGCAGTCTCTGTAGGGAGAGTATTATTGATACATTCTGCGGTATCACTGCTATTGATACATCGCAGTGTTACAGTTTTTAGGCTTATCCCTGGACCCCTATTAGTCTACATTTGATACATCTTTTTGTAAAGAATTCTGTCAAAATTGTAATTTTGCTTTTATTTTTATTCTGCTTGAAGGAGTATGACTATGTTTTCACTATTGATGTAAATGAAAGTGGGCCTTCCTACAAACTGCCATATAACATCACTGATGATCCTTGGCTGAGTGCATACAACTTCCTGCAAAAGAACGATCTAAATCCTATGTTTCTGGATCAGGTGGCGAAGTTTATTATGGACAACACTAAAGGGCAAACACTGTTAAGTTCAAGTGCTCAATTTTCAGATCCGTTTACAGGTAAAAATTTTAAATGTAAATAATGGCATCAGTCACTCCTCCAGTTTTGTGTTTTCAGCAAACTCCCTGAGAGTGTACTCTGATCTTCCAGATCATTAATGAAGATGTGGAACAGGAGTGAACACGGTACTGACACTGGGGTAGTGGCTGGCTTCCAGCTAGATGTTGTGCCACGGATCACCACCCTCTGGGCCTGATAGTTCAGTCAGTTTTAAATCACTCACTGTCACAGAATCAGAAACTTTAAGGTTGGAAAAGACCTCTAAGAATATTGAGTCCAACCATTAACTTAGCACTTCTGTGTTCACCACTACAACATATCCCCAAGTGCCTTATCCCATGTTTTTTGGATATTTCCAGGATGATGATTCCACCACTTTCCTGGACAGTCTATTCTAGTGCCTGGCAACCCTTGCAGTATAAAATTTTTACTCATATCTCATTCAAATCTCCCCTGGTGCAACTTGAGGCCATTTCCTGTCATCCTGTCACTTGTTACCTGGAAAAAGAGACTAACCTCCACCTTTCTACAACCTCCTTTCAAGTAGTTGTAGAGAGCAATATGGTCCACCCTGAGCCTTCTTGTCTCCAGGCTAAACACCCTCAGCTCTCTTAAGTCACTTCTTATAGGACATACACTCGACACTCTTCACCAGCTTCATTGCCTTTCTCTGGACTCACTCCAGTCTGGCTTTTCATTTGGCTATGTCCAAGTAAATAGCATGTATGACCCAGAAAACAAATTTCTGACTCAATTAATAAGGAAGAATTTGTTCGCAACGGGGTAGGATCGATTTCCTACAATGCCACAATAAACAATAAGGCATATATGATGTTTGGCTTTATTTTTGAGCTGCTTCTGGCTGAAAAGTACTGACACTTGAATAACATCAAGCTGTGTTTGATAGTCACTGGTTTTCTTGCTGTTTCACTAGGTGCTGGGCGTTATGTTCCAGGCTCTTCATCTGGATCAAATACAATACCTGGGGCGGATCCATTTACAGGTAATGTAAAATTCATAACTTGTCTGGCTAGCATGTAGGATGCATATTTTAATCGTGTTCAGTTGCATTCCATCTTTGGCTCCAGAGGGCTGTTTCTTGCAGCTCTCTGGGGCAGTAGGATGGGACAGCCTGGTAAAGTGGGCTCTGCTACTGTCAAAGCATATGGAGATCTGTTCAGTAGCAGAGAGCCCTCTGCCGTCTGTTCTGCCTCATGTCACCCTGCCCTCTGCAGCAAAAGGGTAGGGACATAAACCTTTTGTTTTGCAAAAATCCATATGTATGGATAACGCAGGAATGGATATATCCATAAAGATAGTTTTCTATTTTCATTGTCACTCATTTTTTCTTATTACATGATCTTTATTAGTACCATGCACTCTAGATCCTTACTGGGATAGCTGTTGTAAAGTTCTTCTTGCTAGTTTAGCAAGCTTGTTTGCAAAGACATTCCCAGGTCCAGCCCTGCTTTTTGAGACTTACCCTATCTGTGATAAGTAGCTCTTGCTCCTTGAAAGTCCTGCAGTCAATAAATGCCACACTTCTGCCAGCAAAACCAGTCATGCAGTGAGCTGCTGACCTACTTGATGAATCCGTTTCTATTCAAGCAATTTTGCTTTGCTAAGAGCATCAAAGAAACATCACCTGGGCCCTTCACACTTCCTCCCGGAGCTCTCTAATCACCCTTGATACTCTCCAGGACTTCCTTGGCAATACCATTCATGGCTATATGGAAGAGTAGCAGGGTAACAGTGTTGGCAGTGCCTCTCTGGCATCCTGGATCCTAGCCTCTCAAGATATCTGGAGATACACTCCTGTGTCAGTAGTGGGTGCCTCCATACCCTGCAGGAGGATACTCTGCCTCCTGTCACTGCCACTTGCCTTTCTCCTGGGGAAACATGTGCTGGATATTTTTCCTCACCAGTGCCAGGGCACTGCCTGTTCTGCAGTTGCAGATCTACAGGCAGACATGAAGACTTTGTGCTGTTGCCAAAACCCTCAGCCTTCCACATCTTGTCAGTCTGTTCCTATTGTACTGTGTTGTCCAGTGGTCTCTCCTCCCGTGGTTTGTGTGGCTCTGTCTATGGTCTCTGCAGGTGGAGGCCTCAGTGCCAGAAAGGAGAGTCCACCTCTCACCGGAGAAGCCACTTTAGGCCCCATACACACAGAGAGCATGTCTCAGCAGTGCCCTCCTGATGGAGCTTGTCATGGATTGTACCTGTCACAACTGTGCCTGCAGGCTGTACACAGCTTGTACCTGCTGTGCTGAGGGCCTTTGCACCTCTGGGTGCCAGAGACCATGCCAGTGTCTCCCATTTGTTTCTCACTTAGCTGGTGAATGCCATCTTCACCAGCACCCTTACACATAGGCACAGATTTAATCCTTAAAGAAGTGTTGAAGATTTCTTTTATAATTCCTTTAATGCAAAATAACCCCTTTAATAGTGATGTTTGAAAACTAGTAATGAAATACAGGTATATGTTATCTCTTTACATTACCTCTTTACCTGTGGTGTTTAAAAAACTTAACATCCTTGTTTAGGTGCTGGTCGCTACGTTCCTGGTTCAGCATCAAATGCAGGACCTCCAGTGGGTGGAGTTGATCCATTTACAGGTAAGACAGGATGTCTGCCAATGAGAAACATTCCTGATTTTTTGGTTTGTTTTTTCCTCTGACATAAATTCTGCATTGATGCAAGTTTATACTTTATTAAAAACAATAAGCAGATTGAAGCTGCTGATACTCTGGAAATTATTCAGAAAATATGGATAACAGATCCTTCCTTTATGTGCAGTAATCAGGTACACCATCTTTTTATCAAAACATGGTCAAGGCCAAACTACTCTTTTTTGATTCTAACTTAACTGAATGCAGGTGCATCTGACTCAGCTTGTTCCCACACCCATTCCTATGAATGACTGTGTATTTAGTTTGCATAATGAAGAAATCACTGTTAATAGTTTAAACTTGTAAATTTTTACATAAGGGGAGGACATTTTGTGAAGGTATTGCTTTAAGTTTTAACCCTTGAATTTAAAAATAACATAAGGAAAGACAGCTGTTTGCATAAACATTCATTTTTTTCCCATTCAGCAGTAGAGTGACATTCAGCAGTAGAGAATTACTTTTAGGATAATACTCTCTGTTAGACACTTTGGTATGTTGCTGAATGTTCTGTATTGCCTTTCTGTAGGAATGGGTGCGTACCAGTCAGCTGCTGCTAAGGCTGAAAATATTTATTTTCCGAAGAAGGATGCTGTCACCTTTGACCAGGCCAATCCTACGCAGATACTGGGTCAGTGTTTTATTATCAAGGATGATTTTTTTCATTTGTTTAAAGTAACTTGACTTTTGAGCTTTTAACAAACCTAAGCAATTTCCCATAGGTTTCCTAATGTTTCTTGGTTTTGACCTTTTAAAATTTCATTCATCACTTCATTGGTGCATGTATTTGAAGGCTTAGAAGTATGAGTACTTCACAGATAAGAACTCTTACCTAATAGAGAATGTCGTTTTTTTCCTTTCCATTGCCTTGTATTCTTGTTTCTGTAGAATCTCTGCCTTTTTTTGTCATTAGTTTGTTTCTGTATATTTCTATAAGGGTTTTGTAAAATCAGTTTGTACTCACAGTGTATCTGCCTTGAAGATACTAAAACTCAATTATTTCTCTCCTTTTTTTACACAGACCTTGAAAATGTTGTAGCTGTCCAGCTAGTCTGATGAGGAAACATAAAAACAAGGGACTCTGATTTTTTAAAAAGTATAACTTTTATCCAGCATCTTCAAGAGGGCAAGCTCCTGGCTTTATAGCTATGGATTAATAGAATGATTTGGTTTGGAAGGGACCTTGAAAGATCATGTAGCCAATCTCCCTGCCATGGGCAGGGACACCTTTGACTAGACCAGGTTGCTCAAAGCTCCACCCATCCTGATGTTAAGCTCTTCTGGGAATGGGACATTCATGTTTTCTATGGGCAAATTGTTCCAATGTCTCTTTCAGTTCAAAAGCATTAACTCTTGTCCTGCCACTGCAGACCCTGATAAAAGATCTCCTTCTATCTCATAAGCCCCCTTTAAGAATTAAAAGGCTATAGTCGGGTCTCCTTGGAGCCTTCTCTTCTCCAGGCTGAAGAACCCCAGCTCTCAGCCTTTCCTCATAGCAGAGCTCCTCTATCCCTGTGATCATTTTTTTGGTCCATGCTCTGGACCCACTCCAAGACATTGACGTCTTTCTTGTGCTGAGAACCCCAGAGGTGGATGCAGCATTACAGATGGAGTCGCACAGATGGCAGAGTAGGGGGGCAGAATCACCTCTGTCACTGTGCTCGCTGTGCTGCTTTTTATGCAGCCCAGGATGCAGTTGTCTTTCTGAGCTATGAGCACATATTGCTGGGCTGTGTCCAATTTCTAATAAGCCACTACCCCCAAGTCTTTCTTTTCAGTCCCTTCTCAATCCCTTTTTAGCCCAGTCTGTACATCTGGGATTACCCTGTAACAGGTGCAGGACCTTGTCTTTGGCCTTGTTGAACTTCATGAAGCTCACATGGGTCCACTGCTCAAGCCTGTCAGATCTCTCGAGCCTTCTGTCTGTGGTATTGCTCATTTACATACTGTTCAAGTGTTATTATCTGATTAAAAAAATGTCAGAACCTTCAGTTAGCCTTGTTGCCCTGAATTTTCTTGCACTCATTTATTTGTTCAAGGAGAAGATAAGGGATTCACAAAGAAGTTATTTTTCCTGGAGGTTTTGGCTAGTAAATAGGTTTAGCCTTCTCTTGGTTTTCCACAGATTTACAGTAAAATTTTGTTCAGAACTTCATAAGAGGGAGAACATCAAGACTGGCTGACATTCACATATAGCAAAGCAAAGATTTTCACTAAGTCTTTAAAACATACTGCATCAGTTTATTTTTATCCTGTATTCTTGAGGAATAACAGTATTACTCACAGGCTTAGTGGGCTGTTTGTTTTTTTTGAAGTCTAGAATCTGAAAACTAGGTTTACTATGTTTTCCCCACAGTTTTGTAACAGTGCATGGTTAAATACACTTGTAAATATTATGGCTGGACTGGGATAGATTTAATAGATAAATGTTTGTATTGTTTTGTTTTTTTCACGAGGCCCCAATAGTTGTTTTTTTTTTTTTTGTGCATACTATAAAACTCCTAAGGATGTACAAATGTAATGTTGTCTGCTTGTGTATTTATTGACATGGCCTTCCTTATGTCTGGAAGAACCATGATTGGCAGGTCCTTAATGCTTGATCCATTACATTAAAATGATTTTTCCAGTACATGGATTTTTAAATCACATTAAAGTTTGAGTATAGGACATGCCATAAGCAAAATATGATCACAAAACTTAAATAATAAAAAAAATACAAAAACTGTGATCACACTAAGGACATATAGTTTCTTTGTTGTTTCTATGACCTAATAATAGGAAAGAGCAAAAAAGAAATCAATTTGTTACAAAAGCTCTAATGGGCTTGTGATTCTTTTTTCTGCATTTTTCTCTTTATGTAGATGTTTTCTGAATTTTTCTGCAAATTCTGAATCTTTTTGTTGCACTGTTAGAGGGGTTTTAATAGTAGCGATCATTGTGGTAATTGAAAACTTAAATTTAGAAAATTATTAAATTGGGAAAAGTGTTCAAAATCCATAATCCCCCCAAAAAACCCAATTACAATAGTTTGTATTTGTTTGTAAAGTCCTTTTGTAGTGTTTTTCAAGATCTCAATCTGTGAAGTTCTCTGTCAGTAAGCCATGCTTCTTCCATTGGTCTTACAGGCAAATTAAAGGAACTTAATGGCACGGCAGCTGAAGAACATAAGCTTACAGAAGATGACTTGATAGTTCTAGAAAAGTTACTGTCTGCAACATGCAACACCTCTGCAGAAACACCTACAGCACAGCAACTTCAGACGTTATGGAGAGCAGTTAACTGGCCAGAAGGTAGACAATTATTTCTTGTACTGTCATCTTATTTCTTGGAGTTATTTCTTGTACTGTCATCTCATCAACGCTTCACCGTGAACAAAAAGTCTTCTTATGCTGTTTATTCCACAGAGTCTGTCTCAAACACTTGATAGCCCGAGTAGAAAACAGAAGATGATAAACAGGTGCTAATAACACTGATCAGCAGCAGAGGCAAAACTAATAGTTCGTTGTCAGGTTTTGTTGCTGGCACAATAGTAAACATAAAGGAGAAACTTGATATAAACATCAGTTGTGGTTATTTCATTAGCAGAGGCATCCTCAAAAAAGTGTGAGATTTGTTTGGAAATACAGCAAGGAAGTGTGAGCTTGGGATTGTAAGTTTGTTACCAAATGAGAGATGAAATTATGGAGATAAATTATGTAAAAAAAAAAATCAAAAGTATCTTTTATGTTAATGTGGTAGAAAGGAAGAAGTTACAGAAGCTCTAGGCTGTGTGGTCAGAAGTGTATTGGTGAAGTGACATTCTGAATGAATGCAAGTGGGGGTGATATAATTCCATGTAGTAATGTATCATCAGCAGTGATAGATTGGAAAGGTTATTTTGATTATGAAGGCACATTCTGGAAAGAATGCATACATTGCATATACAAGTACCTAAAATGTGGTTCAAATTAACTGCTTTCTTGAAGATGCAGTTAAAGATTTATTACCTGGAAGAACATTGTAGTGTTGAAAATTCATGGTCATTATATAACATCACCTAATCAAAGTATGTTTTACATAGCTGGCAGCTGGTGATGGCTAATGTTGTCATACTTTCCAGACTCTTTCTATTTCTAATTAATGCTATTGTACAAAGCATTAATTCTGAAGATTCTGCATGTCTGAAGGAAAATCCTCAGTAAGTAGCTAGGCACGTTCAGCTTTGATTTGATTGTAAGCCTGGGATGGCAATAGTATTAAAAAAAAATAGCAAAGGAGACAGATATATTTAAAAATCAGAGAAGGGAGGATACAACTGAACAAACTTTCAGTTCAGATTCTTTAAAATGATTTCCATCTGATCAGCTGAGGACCTGTTTTCTATTTTCTTTGCAAGTTATGTCTCAGAAATGAAGGTAATCTATTTTTTCTGTCTTTTTTTTTTTTTGTCCTGAAAGCAGTTTTGTAGTGATGCTATCTATGTAGGGATGTTTAGTCAGAAGCTTTCAGAGACATTTGCCTTCAGTGTTATCAATTGAAGTTTTTGGAAAGATTTAAGATTTTCTGTGAAGCACTATATTTATCCTAAATTAAGAGTTATGGGGTTTTTTTATGCTAAGTGTTAATAGAATGGATTTGTCAATATTTAACTTCATGAATTTGAAACGACTTGTGCTTTACCTGAGTCTCTTTCTTCATGAGACTGTTACTGTCTGTTCCCCAAGCTAGAGGGCTAAGGGCTGTATCTGAAAGAAAACTCACATTTGCACATAATGCAATATTAATACTAAAATTCTGTTTTGTTTTGTTTCTTAGATATTGTCTTTCCAGCCCTAGACATTCTTAGATTGTCTGTCAGGCATCCCACTGTGAATGAGAACTTCTGCAGTGAAAAGGAGCATGTACAATTTATCGTCCTTCTCCTTAAATTTCTGAACCCTAAAGGAAAGCAAGCAAACCAGCTGTTGGCACTTAGAGCTCTTTGCAATTGTTTTGTCAGCCATGCAGGCGAGAAGCTCATGATGGAACAGAGGGATGAAATAATGACACAAGCAATAGAAACTAAATCAGGCAATAATAAGAACATCCACATTGCGCTGGCCACGCTGACGTTGAACTATGCTGTATGTTTACATAAAGTCAACAATGTTGAGGGCAAAGCTCAATGTTTATCAGTCATCAGCACAGTTATGGAAGTTGTTCAAGATCTTGAAGCCATTTTTAGACTGCTTGTGGCTCTTGGGACGCTTATCAGTGATGATACAAATGCTGTGCAATTAGCTAAGTCTCTTGGAGTTGACTCTCAAATAAAGAAGTATGCCTCTGTATCAGAACCAGCTAAAGTAAAAGAATGCTGTAGGTTTGTTCTTAATCTGCTATAATAATGTTTAGCACAGTGTATGCAGAAAAAAAGTGCTTTTCATATTTTATGACAGATTATACTTGAGAAAATACTGGGGATTAATTACACTTGATTTGTTGCAAGATACAGAGCAAATAAAAATTTTTGCACTGTTTGTCATTTGACTGCTTTTCTGAAGAGTATGATGCACAGGATCTTCTCAACAAGTCCTGACATTGCTCAGATAGATCACCAAGATCAAGCCATCTCAGTACTTACAGGTCATCTAGATGGAAAGGTAGGAAATGGCTGTTATTTAGTGACTGTCAACTCTGACACCCACTCCAACCACATTTCTTTGTTTCAGCATGATGAGTCTGTTTCTTGACTTGCTTTTTGTCAGCAGAGAAGGGGTCCTGAGAATGGTTGAATTCAACAGTGCATTTCACAAGCTTATTAGTTAACATTGGTTAATATTAACCCGTGTCGAATAGCCTGGTAATGAATTTTTTCATCAGCTTTTCTCCACTTCCTTTTGAAAGCTAGCTGTTTGTGGCTCTAGGGGAGTTTTAGAGGGGTAGAATCTCTAATTGCACATGATTTGTGCTTCACTCACAAGTTCGTATTTTGCAGCTTGTAAAATAGCATGAACTTCTACAGAAGCAAGCTTTTACCTGACTTTTTAACTTTTAAGGACAGGAATACCCCACCAGTTCATAGCAAGTGTCTTACTCTAGAAGGTATGTTGTAAAATACTAGAAGAATAAAAAGAAGAAAAGCCATCTTGAAGAGTGGGAGAAAAATGTAGGTGCAGAGAACAGACTGAGCAGCAGAATCTTGAAGAAGCTTCCTAGAGGTGGCCAGTGCCCCTTGGCTGTCAGTCTTTAAGAGGCATTTGGACAATGTCTTTTACAAGATACACTAACTTCTAGTCAGCCCAAATGTGGTCAGACAGTTGGACTAGATAATTACAGGCTCTTTACAACTGAAACTATATGAATATAAACTATAAACTATATGAATATGAAGTCAAGTTTTATGAAATAGCTTTAACTTCATAACTGTGGTGACTGTGAAAAGGGAAAATAATATTTTACAGCGTATTGCAGCAGATCTAAGATGTTCAGCTCCAAAGGGGAATGCTATCTTCTACTACTCCTGCAAGTGTTACATCTGGATTTAGAAGTAAGATGAACTGAAGGTGGTCAATGTTCCAGTTACATTTTTCATTAGACTAAAAAAATGGAAAACATGGGGAAAAAAAATGGGCAAGCTTTTCTGGCACATGAGTTCTGGCACATACCTACTTGCATTGTCTGTGCCAGATATGAAGGATTATGTGACCAAGAGCTCTGATTTTTTTTTTTTTTTTCTGTATCTACCTGAACTGTCTGAATTACTATACTACTTCCACCAAGTCTTACTTCTCAGATTCTTAGTTGCACGCTTGTACTGTGTCCACTTTTGATGGATTTCTAGATACCCTCACAAACAGTCTTGATCATGGTCTTAGTCACAGGTTTTCTCATTTGATCCATTGCAGGTTCATGGATTAGGCAGTCCAAGAGATTATCTGAGATATACAGTGCTCTATAGATGAACCTCTTGCTGGGAAAGCATCTAAGAAGCTACCATTAGGAAACATGTCTGTGAAATAATGTGCCTGTCTGTTGAATTTTGGTTGCCTACTATACAATTGTTCTTGAAACTTTAGCTTTTAAATGTTGTGCTCTATAACTGTGTTTGTACATGTGCTATTTTAAAAAAACCTATACTTGTCTTAACATTTTGATTTTATTATTGTGGGATTGCTCTGTTACAGGTTATTTCTTCACGTGAAAATTGTCATGAATTTCCCAGACCAAAAATTAATGTTTATATTAATAAACATACTCTGGCAACTCCAAGAAATGGTATATTTAGAAATATTACAAAATTTGATTAAATCTGTGGAGAAATGGTGAGGAACAGAAAAAAAATCCTTATAGGGACTGCAGCAATGCATGTTAGGCAAGATAAACAAAGCAGGCCAGGATTATTTGGAGACAAAGACACCTGCTGCTAAAAGGGTACTGTGATACCCAACCATTCCGTAATCCACCATTGTCTGAGGGAACAGAGTGAGTGGGAAATTGTTTGCTTGTGTTTTGAATAACACTGTTTAAAACTCCATTGTGGTTCATATCAGCTTGCATGTACATAAGCACACAAATACATGTAAGTGTACTACAGAATCTGCTGCTGAGGTTGCAAACAAGTAGAACACCTTAAGGATGCCACCAGGATGAAGTTTCTGTTTCAGTGAAAGCACATTAAATCTATACTGAAGAAACATGCCAGGCACGAGGTCCACAGTGTTCCATCTTTTGAGAGCAGAGGACATTGAAAACAAAGACATGCCTATCACAGAGCTCAGAGCTGGCTTGCTATGTACAGCACTAAACTTCAGATGAGTTGGTCTGTGTGCTGCATGTTCCTGATTTGATTCATCAGGGGATAGTGAAAATATGTTGGAGAAGTTTTAAGAGCCTCTGAAAGAAGAGTTGTATCTTCTGCTAAGAATTCAAAGCTTCTTAGTAGATGACAACATTCTTTTGGCATCTTTTTCTAAGCTGGAACAGAAGATCTTAGAACAGGAAACAGCACATAATAGCACATTATTTTAAAGCTTTGTTGTTAGGCATGCCCTGGGTTTTATAAAGTGGAAATACTTGGGATCTACTTAGACCAGAACTCAGGACCCTGTATAAAATGTCTTCTTGGTGAACTGAAAGAGGAATCAAAACTGAGGTCAGCACTAACTGCTATAGTTGTCAAAACAAGTGGGCACTACAGTCACATAAATTGGGATACTTGTATCACAAGAGTTTTGTAAGTCTGAGTAATTATTGTGATGCACCGTGCTCTCATCAGGACCTAATTAAGCAGACTTCTAGCTACTCAGTTGTGTTCAGGCTATGGACAAATAGGCTAACTTCAGTCTGCAAACCTATTTCATTAAAAGCACTGTACATTGAAATACTCATGAATCATTGGATGCAGTCACTTCTTTATAAAGTAATACACCCAAATAATCTATAGATCAGTACTACAGAGGTAACTGTAAATGCTTTAGGAAATGTTACAACCTTCTGGTTCCAATTGCATTAAATTTTTTTTTGGTTAAAAATAGCTAAGCTGTCATAGCTGAATGTGATCCATTACTATATATACTGTGATTGCTTTTTTTGTCTTTCTCTTTAAACTATCAACAAATCGAAAGTCTAGGAACAGCAGGCATTTCCCAACTTTTCAAAATGTGTACTGAGTAGACTGTGAAATAAAACATTCAGCAACAAGTTGCAGCTGTTGACAGCCTAAAGAGTATCTGGGTGTTTTGAGATATCCTATTCTTCTAATGGATTTTTGACATTTATGCACTATAGAGACTGAGTTTTCAGTTTTGGTGGGAAATTTTGTTTCTATTCTTTACAATTGCAAAGACAAATTTGCTAATGTGGACCACACCACTGTTGATCTGTATCAAACACAGAAAAAAAAGGCATTCAATATGAACTACCCCTTTTGACAGTAGAGTTTCAAGCCTGTGATCACATAAATTCCAGCATTGTTAGAAATCTTTTTATCAGCATGCCCCGTTAGCTTCTATATTCTGAGTAGATGCTGCATTAATTGAAAACACAGTTTGTGTGCCTAAGCATACACTACTTAACCTGTTATTTTCCTCATAGTTGCTCAAGGGATCCCATTTTCACCTCAAACTCACAGACCCCACATCTATGTTTCTGCCACCTTCAGAGTACACTAAGGCAGTCATTTTCTGATGATAAATATGATGACGTATTCCCACCTGTCAGGTAATCTAACAACACAGACAAATCAGGGTCAATTCTAACACTTGATGAAAAAAAAAAACAGATGGTATTTAATACATTCTTCTAACCCTTTTTGAAAACAATGTCAGCCCAAGCATTATATATCATTTGAAGACAGTACTTTTGATCACTGCTAGCTTTGTACAACTTGCATTCAGCAGATCTCTTAACTAAACGGGCCAATACCACCCATTTGATGAAGATCCAACACAATAGGGATAGTAACAAACTGAAAGGCAACATGTTTGAATCTGGGAAACATCAGGCACAGAAAAACAGACACTCCAGTGCATCAAATAAAGAAGAAAATCATTGCATATCTCTGCACAGAAAAGGAGGTTCTTAATACAATTTTCTCTGTGTAATAATGGACATTTTTCTACCCTGGTCTTCATTTTCAACTAACTGTCCTCCTTAGGATAACAGACTAAATTCTCTCTATAGCTAATCTTGGTAGTTGGTGGCAGAAAGCTGATCAGCGTCTTACTGAATTGCACAAAGTGATCACCTGCCTTCAACAGGCTTCTCTGCTGTGATTCCTAATTGTTTGCATCCCCTGAAAAATACTAGTGTCTCACTTCTCCAACACGCATGAAGTGTCACAATAAAACGGAAGTTACTGTTTTTCCAAAGTTATTGGCAATGCCAAAGAGCTGGCAGGGGAAAAGTATGCAAGTCCTTGCACTGCTGAAACAGGTTGAGAGACAGGGAAAAGGTCAGGATTAAACAGTAGTTACAGAGACTGGAATCATCACAGAATTATCAAAGTTGGGAGAGAACTTGCAGATCGTCCGGTCCATCTGTCCACCTGGCACTACCACTGTAAAACCTAAACCACTAAACCCAATCACCCAGCACTGGATCTAGACGCCTCTTGAATACCTCCAGGAAGGGTGACTTCACCGCCTGCCCGGGAAACCTATTCCAATGTCTGACCACGCTGGGAATGATTTTTTTTTTTTTTTTTTTTAACTATCTAACCTGAATGTCCTCTGTCTCAGTTTAAGGCATTTCCACCAGTCTTCTCACTGCAGGCACGGCAGAAGAGACCGGCCCCCAAGTGGCTACAACCTCCTTTCAGGGGGTTGACAAGAGCGACGAGGTGTTCCCTGACCCTTCCCGATACGAAGTTCCCTCAGCCCTTCCCCGTAAGACATGTTTTCTAGACCTTAGATCAGAGATACCTGTGTGAACAACAGGCGGGCTGCCCACGGCTGGAAACAGTTTTAGCGTCACCCCGCCAACCCCAAGAAATCGCGCAACCAACCAAACAAAAGCATCGCCGGGCCGCTCCGAAGGC